GCCATGATAGAGTGTGGGAGAAGATTATGCAAGGATGTAAATACCAGGAGGTGAGGATCATTTGGGGCCATTTTTGAGGCTGGGTATCACAGTGAATATCTGTTCTTTTTGTCCATGCATCATGCATTTCTCTGTGTGAGAAACACATTTCACATTGCACAACTGGGGATGAACCTTCCTCATCTGTAGGGGAAGCAGATAACCCAAGCATGGCCAATCTGAATACTCTGCTTGCCTAGCCAGAGTGGTCAAACAGGCAAGTGATCAGCTAGCGCCAACCAGAATCTTCCTTAATTTTTGATGTATGGATTCTGAGGGAGAAAGGGTCTCTGTTCCTCTGCTATTTTGAGCTCCAAGAATGATCTAAGCTGGAACTTCTTACTGCCATTTGTTCAGGTCATATTGGAGGAAGCTATCTTTAGTAAGAGAAAATGAGGCCAGCACACAAAGAGAGGCAAAGATGAGCAGAGATGAAAAGAGAAAAGGGAGTCTTAATGAAATAACTTAAGCCCCTTCAATCCAGCAGTGCCTGAAATTTACACTCAGACTTTTCAGTTACGTAAGTGAATAAATTTCCTCTCTTGTTTAGCTAGTTTAAGTTAGATTTCTGCCACCTTCAACCCAAACAGCTCCAACAAATCAGCAGGGTGTACATCTTACTCGTCTTGAATTCCCAACATTGGATTAAATTCCTAGTACTCAATTCAAGTTTGATGAATACATTACTTTATTGTCATATTTTTACATAAAAGCAATCGGATATATACAAACATTGGAGATTTTTTTTAAAAGAATTGGCAGCTTACCAAGAAAGTAATAGTTACAAGTACGCTAAAAACCCTAGAACCTTGAAAAGTTTGGGGATCTGGTAGCCCCCAGAGCCATTATGTTAGTCTGCTGTGCTCAGGGTCAGTTTCCTGCAGTTTTGTGTAATGTGGTTGAGCGAGTGGTTTACCAGGATCCTGAGAGAGGTTGGTCGAGAAGAGGGGACTGCTGGAGATGTGCCCCACCTTACCTCCGCGACTGGGAAATGGAAAAAGGCCCTGCGTGGACCTCTAAGCACTCGCTTGTACAATACGTGGGTAACATTATGTTGCAGAAATAAAAGTGAGTAGGTGGGTAAAGGACATTCACAGAGGGCTGGTTATGGGCTGGTGGTTTCTGTCCCCTCTGAGAACCGTGCCCCGAGAGAAACTTGCAAAAGAAAGATGCGAGATCAGATTTATAGCTGCAGGTAAAGAGTTCACCAAATAACTGGGCTAGTAATCAGATTATCCCAACTCTTGCCCTGACTCAGGGACTGAAGAGAACAGAGAAAAACATGGCTTTACGAAGGGATGTTTTGCTGTGGCTTAGATCAGTAACCTCACGTGCGTGAGCGGTTGTTCTCACAGAGGATGATCTAGGGAGATATAGAAGGAAGCAAGTCAAATATGGGAAAGAGAAAAGCAGCTTGTCTGCTGCCTGCCTTTCTCTTCACAGTCGCCTAATACTCAGCAGCTTTGTTGCGTCTAGGAAAACTGTTATACACATCGTCAACTGAGTGACAGGGCTTTATTTTTAATTCATCACAGAAGCCAGGCTGCCCAAATGATGCTTGACAGAAAAATCTCTTGGTCGTAAGGGCCTTTTCTCAAGCCAAGGAAAACCTCAAAATTCCTTAGTTTTCCCCTGGGCTCTTATAGCAAGTCCAGTTTTCTTTAACTCTGTAAACTCCTGTAGCCAGCTCCTGGTCACATACCAACTGCTATTTCTCAGAAAGGAAACTCTGGTATCTACAAACAGCAAGAGCGTGGATTCCGGAGTCAGACTGCCTGTGTTCAAATCACTGCTTCCCCACTTGATCTGTAAGATCTAGCACAAGTCATACGTTGTGCCTCAGTTTCCTTGCCAGTGAAATGGAGTTAATAATCTGTTACTAGTATCTCTTCATAGAGTTGTGGCAAGTATTAAATGAACATGTACATTCATAGAGAATATTCACAGAGAAAGAGAGAGCATGAGTAAGAGCTTAAAACAGTGCCTGACACATAGTGAGCCGTATGCAATTTTTGATATTATCATTTTATAGAAATTTCTATGAATCTTATTTGAATCTTTGTAGGTAGCTTTTTTTTTTTCCCATTTGGCCCTCTTTTTTTTACATTAAATACATCTCATAGTAAGTATTTGTGGACCAAATGTCCTTAACTGGCTTAAGACAGTTTGGTGGTACGTGATTGTCAGCCCCTTTTTTTTTTTTTTAATCTTTTTTTTTGAGGAAGATTAGCCCTGAGCTAACATCTGCTGCCAATCCTCCTCTTTTTGCTGAGGAAGATTGGCCCTTAGCTTACATCATGTCCATCTTCCTCTACTGTATATGTGGGACACCTACCACAGCATGGCGTGCCAAGCAGTGCCATGTCTGCACCCAGGATCCGAACTGGTGAACCCCAGGCCGCTGGAGTGGAACGTGTGAACTTAACCTCTGCACAACTGGGCTGGCACCAATTGTCAGCCTCTTTGTGGGGCCTCTGACAATCTGTGTCCTTAGAGCCTGGGTCTTCTCACCCTTCACAGGGCCCCTGGGTGATGAGGTCCGTGCAAGTCAGTATACGACCGAATTCCACTTGCAAACGCTGATTAGCAATTAGGCACGAGAGCCAGGCAAATCATCCCGGTATGTCCCATGAGCTCACAGCTCCCAACCAGAACCTCGTGTGAAATGTTTGCTTAAGCCAGATACCACAATGTCCTAGAGCAGGATCCAGCCACACTCGACATCGGATCAGGTGACAAAATCCTGCATGAAGCGGCAGGCACAGGACTAAACAAACACCAGGCCTAGAGCAGCATCCGGGCTCACCCAAACCTTATGCTCCATTCATTTGAGGGTGAGATGCCCGTGTGGTACACATACCTCAGAAACAATGCATTTCACCAATAAAAAGTTATTTCTAACATCTCTTATGCTAAAGAATAAATCCTCTCATGTAAATGCAGAAACGAATATTTGCAGGAGCTGCCACAGATTCCAAGTCCAAAGTTCTGATTAGTGCTTTCAGTGTTCACAAACTGCCCTCTGGAGTGTGCGTTCCCCATCAGAGCACTGCAAAGGGTTCATTAACTACTCCTAGGGTGAATAGTAAAAACCAACATTTTTTTTTTCTAGGAAGATTGGCCCTGAGTTAACATCTGTTGCCAATCTTCCTCTTTTTTTCTCCCCAAAACCCCAGTACATAGTTGTATATCCTAGTTGTACGTCCTTCTAGTTCTTCTATGTGGGATGCTGCCACAGCATGGCTTGATGAGCCCTGTGTAGATCTGTGCCCAGGATCTGAACTGGCAAACCCTGGGCTGCCAAAGTGGAGTGTAGGAACTAAACCACTATGCCACCAGGCCAGCCCCTAAAACTAACTTTGAAAGCACACACATAAATCTTACTGTCTAAACTGAAGTATTTAAATCATGACAATAATCGCCTAATGTTGCGAACCCCTCAGACTGTAACTGATTTTTTTGTTTAGGTGACAGCCTACGTATCGACTCTGATTTTTTAAGATATTCATAGATTCCTCATTAAAAATGAATAATTAAAATAACATTAGCTGATAAAATGCTCTCTTTGTAAGGAAACTTTACAGCTCTTGATTTTGTAATCAATGAAAAATGTGTTTTCAGATGCATGGGGGGGTTGGAAGTGATTCTACATGTGACTTAGGCACATCAGAGGTGACACTGACTTGAGCCCTTTAATACCATGATTATCAGTGGGAAACGGTCCTCAAAGAAATAGATTTTTGATGACACAAATGGAATTTTGGAACTTCAATATCAATGTATCGACACAGAAGATCTTTTCAACTTTCGCTGTCTAGAGAAGACAACTTTGGTTTATGATACAAAAGCTGTGAAGCCGAAAGGGTAGGACAGAGTTAATTGACATGTTTATTTAGGACACACCTCACCCCCTTGCTTTTGAAATGGAGCTAAAAGTAGGTCACAGTAGGCAAAATATTCAAAGAAAATATATTTATTTTTAGTGTCCTTGATGGTACATAAGTTTGGCTCTAGTTAATTGCACAGAGGGCAGCAGGAGGGCACAGATTTTCTGCAGGATAAGGGAGAGAAGGCAGAAGGGAGGAAAGCTCAAGAAGGGTAATTGAGGAAGACAGGCTTTGTCTAGTTTGAAGTGGATTGTGTATGGCTAAAAACCTGAACCGAAGTTTTTTGCTTTTGTTTTTTGTGGTTGCATTGTCGGGGGAAATGAAGGAACCCTATGATTAGTGAGACACAGCAATTCAATGGGGTGTAAACATGAAACCCTTTAACTGCTCCCAGACTCCTCTGGTAGAATCCTGCTTTACTCTGGGCACTGGGCTCCCTTAGCTTAATGATGTCTCCATCCAGTTCCATAACTTCCCAGCCCCATTGCCAATGCTCAGACCTATTCATTTTTAAACTTCAATCTCAAAAACAAAACAACACAGAATTTCGCAGTCAGTCTAGTGGGAGTGGGAGATGTGTCTACTCTCGCACACCTGTCTTCTCCCACTTTCCCAGACAGGACCACCCTAGGTTTGGAGTATGGAATGAGAGGCAGGATCTCCTTACTTGACTCCTTTGGACGGGAGGCAGTGGGTGCTGCCACCGAGCTTGCTGCTGCCTCTCTAACACCAGCAAATTTTCTTCCCCCTCGATGGCTGCCCCTGTTGACTCTCCCTGGGTCACATGTCCTGGTACACAGTCCCTAGACATGGGGTACGGCTCAGGCTCAGTCTCTTCTTCTCTCTCTCAGTCCAGGTCTCCCCCTAACCAAATGGTCCTCTCGTCCAACGCTCTCTTGGATGCGGTTCTGGCAAGACGGCTCAAGCTCAGCTACTTTGTCTATTCCACTTACAGGAAACTCTATCCTTGCAGTGCAGACGATGGAGATGCAGCCTGGAGCCTCATGACGAGTGAACTGGAGCGCTCTGTAGGAGACAAGGGGAACAAGAGAAAACAACCTATCATTAACTCAAAAGGAACGCACCATTCCTGGAAGTAATACAGTTCCAGGCTGAGGCATGGAGTGGACAGGACAAGCTCCCAATCTACCTCCTAATTCCAAACATTCATTTAGTGCTCAGTACACAGACAGAGAACACTCAGATGCTTCAACTGATAAGCAAGATACTGCATTTGATTTTTGCCAATAGGCAGGGAAGGGAGAACAGTTCTACTTAAGGCACACACCTCCTCTTTCACACTTGAGGCAGAGACTGTCATGTCCAGAGCTCCCCACATCTGTCCAGTGCTCTGAATCTTTCCCTGATATTGCTCTGACCTGATATAATGCTCCTGAAGAAACATCTTTCTCACTGAGAATGATCAATCTCAGTGTCTTCTTCCTGAGGCCTGATCCAAACAACTCCTTTGTGTACTCACTCACTAAACTTAATCGGTCAGCTCCTTCCTCCCAGCTCCCATATTTTCTGTAGCCCTTTGAAAGTCAAGGAACAACTCTGGAACTAAAATCAACAGATTATTTTTTTAAACTTTTTATTATGGAAATTTTCAACACTAACAAAAGTAGAAAGAATAGTATGATAAACTGGTATGTGCTCACCACCCAGCTCAACAATTATCAACTCTTGACCAGTCTATCTCCCCACCTACTCTCCCTTCTTCCTGTTCCATGCGTCTAAATATAAGAACTCTTTTTGTTGTTTTACACATAACTGCAATACCGTCAACACACCTAAAAAATAAACAGCAATTCTTAATTATCATTAAATATCCAGTCCGTATTCAAATTTCTACAATGGTTTCATAAATTGGGAATGCTAACAAAGTTTATCTGTTGTATTTGATTGAAACACTTCTTGCACGGATCAGATTACACCAGGTTATGCTGTGGTAGCCGACAACTCCAAAATCACAGTGGCTTACAACAACTCAGGTTTATTTTCTGTTCACGTGAATTTCCATCATGAGTCAGCTCTGCATCCTCTTCGCTCCTGGCCACGGGCTGAAGAAACAGTCCCTATTTGGGATACACCCACTTCCTGGCAGATGGAAATGAGGAATGGTTGAAATACAATGACTTTTAAAACTTCTGCTCAAAAGTAGCAACCATCACATCTCCTCACATTTCATTGGTCAAAGAAAATCTCAGGGCCAAAGATGCTGTCAGTGGGGAGAAGAGCAGTATAATTCTCCCATAGGAGTGGGCAGCAAATATTGGGAAGAATAGAACTATCTTTCTTTGTAAGTCTTTTTTAGGTTCTCCTCCTCATCTTTGTTTTCTTTTCAATTTACTATTTGAAGAAATTGGGTCATTTGTGCTGCAGAATTTCCTATATTCTCAATTTTGTTAATCGCATCCCTGTGGTACACTTGTTTGACATATTTCTCTGTCATCTCTATTTCTTCTAAACCTGTAGTTAAATATACAGGCATTATCAGATTCAAGTTCAAATTTTTGGCAAGGATGCTTCCTAGGTGGTCACGTGTGTTACGTTAGTTATCTCTTGCTGTGTAACAAATCATCCCAAACCTTGGTGGCTTGAAACAATAATAATCATATATTATCTCATGGTTTTTGTGGATCAGGGATTCAGACAGGGCACAGGGGGATGGCTTATCCCTGCTTTATGATTTCTCGGGTCTAGCTCGAGAACTCAAAGTCTGGAGGACTGAAATCATCGGAAGGCCTGACTGAGGCTGAAGGTTCTTTGTCCAAGGTGGCTCACTCACTTGGATAGCAAGCTGGTGTTGCGGAATTGGTTCTTTTCTATGTGAGCCTGTCCACAGGGCTGCTTGAGCATCCTCACAACATGGTGGCTGACTTCCCCCAGAGTGATGGATCCAAAGACCAATGCTGAAGCAGCAATGTCTTTTATGACCTAGCTTGTGAACTCATACACTGACACTTCCATTGGTCACAAAATCAGCCCGTATTCAATGTAGGAAGTCTATACAAAGGCATGAATACCAAGAGAGGAGGTTCATTCGGAGGCATCTGGGAGGCTGACTATTATACGTATGAAGTGGTTTTGATGTTAAAAAAGACAAGTAGGGACAATCTATATCATGTTGTGTAGGACAATGGCTTCTAGCATTTGAGATGCCATGGTCCAGTACAGCTTCAGGGGGAAAAAAATAGGGCCTAAATGGAACTACTAGATCTTTATTTTGCCACGTAAAGTCACTCAAAAAGACTGACCTATTAATTCTACCATCATTATTTTTTCATTTTTTTTAAAAAACCCTTTTTCATATAGAAGTACATTATCTCAGAATGAAGAATTATCATTTTAGATGTGGGGCAAGGAGAATTCTCCTAAACTGCTAGTGGGAACATACATTGGGAATCCACTTGGAAAACCTTTTATAGTCAAGTTGAGAATTGACTCACTCTGTCACCCAGCAAGTCCACTCCTAGGTATACATCCTAAAGAAATGTACACACACACACACACCAGGAATCGTGTACAAGAATGTTCATAGCACTGGGGGCTGGCCCCATGGCCGAGTGGTTAAGTTCGTGTGCTCTGCTGCGGCGGCCCAGTGTTTCGCTGGTTCGAATCCTGTGCGCAGACATGGCACTGCTCATCAAGCCATACTGAGGCAGCATCCCACATGGCTCAACTAGAAGGACTCACAACTAAGAATATACAACTATGGGGGCTGGCCCCGTGGCCGAGCGGTTAAGTTCGCGCGCTCCACTGTAGGCGACCCAGTGTTTCGTTGGTTCGAATCCTGGGCGCGGACATGGCACTGCTCATCAAGCCACGCTGAGGCAGCGTCCCACATGCCACAATTAGAAGGACCCACAACGAAGAATATACAACTATGTACCGGGGGGCTTTGGGGAGAAAAAGGAAAAAAAATAAAATCTTTAAAAAAAAAAAAAAAGAATATACAACTATGTACCGGGGGGCTTTGGGGAGAAAAAGAAAAAAATAGAATCTTTATAAAAAATGAACATTCATAGCACCATGTTAACAGTACTCCTGAACTGGAAACAAACCAAATGCCCATAGATAGACAAAATGATGTATATTCATACTGTGTGATTCCATTTATATAAAATCCCCAAACAAACAATACTAAAGTATAGTGCTCTGGGATGCATGCTCTGATGAAAAAAGTTTAAAAAAAAGAGCAACAGTGTGATTAGTATAAAGGTCAAGTTGTAGTTACCTTTGGGGAGAGGGAGCATTTCTGATTTTGAGGAAACACAAGGTGGAGACTGCTGGGAGACCGGCAATGTTTATTTATTGACCTTAGTGATAGTTACACAGATATTGTCTTGATAACTCATTAAGCTGCACATCTTATGTTTTTTCTGTGTGCTATATTTTACCATAAAAAGGGGTGTTTAAAAAGGAAAGAAAATTAGTCTTTTTTTAATTAAAAATTTTAGCTTTAGGGGAAACTTTTTTAAAAGAGACCATCTGTTCTTTTTCAGCTCCATCATCCCTTTCCCACCCCTTTCTCCATACGGGGTGTCAGCAGGATCTCTGCTAGTTCCAGCACTGGCAGCCTCACACTAGAGACTTGCACATGTCCCTGACTCAGTGGAGCAGGAATAGATGTGGTTATATACACACACGTGCACACACACACTCATGGGGCGTCCTTCCCTGTGCTTCAGGAAGAGGATGCGCCTTTGGTCCTCTTTCTAGGTTGGCAAGAAGAGGGAATAGCCTCTCCTCAAGAACTCTGCAGCCCTGCCAAAAGGTCCCCTACTTCTTACTCCCTGGCCTTCTAGGCAGGAATGATGATAGACTTGCTGGTTCTTCTGACAGGCCCTGTCAGAAAGCCCTGCTGGCAGCCCCAGTGCCTGGCAGTGCCCTGGACTAAGAGTGTGTGGTGCTTAGCACTGTAGTTCTCAGCAGTGGACCTGCATAGTGCACTTTGGTACAGGCACCTTACAGCGTCCTGGTACACCACTGTTGATGGAGCATCTATTACATGCCAGGGATTTTGCAAGTTGTTCTCTATTGTGCAATGCTTTATAATTTACAATATTTTATTTCATTCTCATAACAATCCTTTGAAATAGTTGGGAGATATCTAATTATTTCCATTTTTCAAAAAGGCCATTGAGCCTCCAAAGGCTTGAGTATCTTAGCTAAAATCACTGTAAAGGGCTAGCCTTACCTCTGAATACTTCCCATACCCACAGCCTCTTGACAGAAGAGTAGCCCTGGGTGGTTCCTCAGACAGGATTTATTTGATGGTATCTCCTGACCCACTTCCCACCCCAGTCCACAGCTTTTGCCAGAAATGGTGACCCGACTCAAGGGCAGCCAAGCTATAGGGCAGAGATATATGGGGTGGCCTGGAGAAACAGATCTGCCCAAACAGGTAAGATGGTAATTACATAGATAATTAGATTGTCTCGGAATTGTTTTGTGAAAAATACAAGGAAGCTGTTCTTATAAGAGGAAAAGCTACAAGACACCAGAGATGAGAAAGTTGTGCACAGATGCCATAAGGCAGTAGGAATCATTAAAAACAGGGAGTATGAGTAAGAGTAAGGTAACTGTGAACAGAAAACATATATATTTGAAACAAATAGAAAGTGAGTTATTTAAATGGCATTGGCAGGAGCACCGGAAGGAAAGATTTCAAGGGACTAAGTTCCCATAATGATGGGGACCAGCACTCCTGTTGCTGAGGAGGCTTAGTCCAGGCCCTGTACTTAAGTTCCCTCTCATTTCTTTTTTTAAATTTTGGGCAGATGACCAACCTATGAAGACAATGATAAAGGAAGTCTGAGCCTACAGGCAATGAATATTCTACCTAATTGGATGACAAGAGTGAAGTCTTTTTTCCAAAGGACTGATGGAAAAGTAGCTGAGAGAAAACAAGAAAGTTAGAGAATCAATCCAGGAACTCTAACATCTCATTAATAGGCTAGAGAGATTAAAAAAAAAAAAAGGGACTAAATAGAATGAAATAGAATGAAGGAAATTATCAAAGAAATAATGGAATAAAAATCCCCACAACTAGATGATGTGAATTTTCAGAGGATAAGGTCCCACTGAATGCTTAGTGAAACAAATGAGACTGGAAAAGAAACAAAAAGCCATGGCATATCTTCACATAATTCCAGAACACCAGGGAAAAAGAGAAGACTCTAAAAGCTTCAAGAAAGAAAAACAGGTGACACACAAAGGAATAGGTAGGAGAAAGACACTAGACTTTATTTTTTCATT